AAAGGAGGGGGGGGGGGGGGGGGGGGGGGGGGCGAAGTCGCGTCTGCCCGGATGCGTGATGGTTGGCGGGAACGCACATTAGCCGGAGTTTTATGGTATCGGGAACGCCAACAGTCGTTTGTTTCGCGTTTGTTTCGGGAGAGGGCCGCTAGTCTGCAGTACCACGCCTCAAGCAGAAGGAAAGGAAGGGTACATGACAAGAACGACAACAGCATCGCTTTCTGAGTGTTCTCAACTACTGTACGTGCAGGGGACAGTTGCGCGGAGATCCCCAGTTGTATCGCCGCATGACGGTACCGGCTGGAATCTCGTCTCTCATCCCCTCGCACACGTTGTCTTTGCGGCACCGCAAGTTGCCGGCAAAACTGCGTTGATGTTGATCGTCAATCGACCAACGCCAAGGGCATTCATGTGGTCTGGTGTCGATGGGTACATCGCCAGACTACCGTCTACTCCTACGTGATGCCCACGACACCTCGTCAGTAGTACACCTGAGACCCCCAATCGCTGGGTTTATTGTAATTTTCGGGAATCGAGCGGAAATCGAAAACACACTAACGACGTGCAACGGACACTCCCGTGGGGGGTATGTAGAAGAGGCTGCTTCTTGCACGGATCGGAGAGGGACCCCGTGTCGAATTCCAGCTGAGATCGGAGCTACACAGGGCGACGTAGCTTTCCCTCGGTGAGACCAAAGGCCACACCTGCCTCTGTTTTCAGACACGCTTTGTTACCCAAAAATGATACGCTTTCTTGCTTACATGATGGCTAGACTGGTCTACAGTATTAATAGTCTGGACGACGCTGCTAGGGATAGGGACATGCCTCAAGCCACAGCATGTCCTTATTTCCTCACATGCGAGGTAAGAGACACACAAGACTAAATTACATTCGGTGGAAATCACTGAATGTCAACAGATAGCATATTGGGTCGTTTGGGCTTTTTTACCGGGGGGGGGCGTACTCATGTTTTGCAGCATGTCTTAGCTGTAGACCATTTGACCACGCGTCCAGGCATCCTCGAGAGGACGGAGCCCTATTCCCACAGGACCGATCACCGATGGCCAATTGTTCCTTCCGACATTGCCAAAGGTGGCTCAAACATCTCATCAATCCACTTCCGCCTTTTCAGCCCACTTCCCATGTCCCAGTATAGCTACCGTCTTCTCCCGGCCATTTCATGCCTCAACCTTCCTTCAGTTTTTCCAGCCCAGTCATGTACGTTTCCATACGTTCATATCCCCTTCACGTGAAACGGACATATATGCTGCAACCCCCCTGTCTTCATACTCGGAGCCGCATTCACACTTAAACTTGACGGCTTCGCTTATTCCCTACATCTTCGTCTACGTTTTCGACGCCATTGTCGGGGGGGGGCGAGTCGTACTCACTCATGTTTTTTGCCGGGGGGGGGTAGGGCTTCGGGATGACGATGGACCCCTTCATCAAACCTTCGGGAACGGTTCCGCCGTAGCCCTGACGAAAATTGCAGATTCCTCCGAAAGAGATCGTACCAAATATTTGGCCCGTTTTGTGGGAATTTGTTGGCTGTCAAGCCGTGGTTGGTGTATTCCGTGGGATGAAGCTCCCCCAAGGGCGATGTTTACGGGTGTCCGTGCCACCCTTCACAATAAATAGTGCGTGCGGGGCTTTCGATAGGCTGCCTGCCTGCCTTCCTGCCTCATTCCAAACCCGGTGGCAAGAGCTCGCCTACCTTTCACACATATTCGGGATTAGAGTAATCATCGTCAGGTTTTTTCCTTCTACGAACACCCCAGAACTGGCGCCGGCCGGCGTGCACTTTTGGTGCTCAATAATGCCAAAGGAGGTATTTTCGGGGCTTTGTGCGACGCGATGGCATCTAATTGATGGCAGCGTTGATTGGCCTACGGACAGCTGGAGCAATGAATCGCTGCACCGAAGGGCCAAGCAAGGATCACGACAATTACCTCATGTTGAGGTCGAAAATGTTGCGCTGTTCTACGCATAAACATCAAACGAAGAATGACGCCGTCGTTCCGTTGTGAAAAAGTCAGACTTGTGACAACATGAAATATGCGCCATCCCCTAACTATTATCGGCCATAAACGGGACACAAGCACCAGTTTCCCGGTACATGGCCACAACCGAAATCAATCAAAGTGTGCCACAGCATCTGTGGATGCCATCAATGACGGCGGTCTAAATTGCAAAGTACAAGACGGAGAGAAGGCTGCGGCAGCATCTACATACTGTAGGCCATGCAAGAAGAACAACGGCTAGGACACACGCCTCATCCAACGGCAACACGCCAACACCTGAGTATCCCGCCCAAGAGAGAGAGCAAGTCGGGTGGCCTCATCCCGCCTCTCACCCTTCACGAAAGTCACAAGGCAAAGGCGGAGGGACCCTTTTGACACACACACACACTCGGCTCCGAACACCGTAAAACGCATGGCGGCACCTCTCACGGCCTCCGTGCTCGATCAAATAAAATAAAATAAAGGTAGGTACTGCTTGTGCCTTGCGTGTGTGACGGCGTTACTAATTTAGTCTAAGGCTGTATGTTCCACAATGCACAGCCCTCGCAGGCTTCACATCCTATTACAGATTCGTGCCGCGTTCACCGTACGTATGCGGCAAGAACGCTTATATTAAAATCTTCCGTTCGGTCTTCAAAAACGTCCAAATAGCAAAGCTAACGGTTGCTGCTTGTACCCTGCCCGAGACGCATGCCAAGACCAAGTGATGATAACGTACTGCTGGTACTGTACACGACGGAATCATCGGGATGCGCCTCGCATGCGCCTAGCCGAAATGATCTCAACGTGCACAGAGTGAGAGACGGGCTACGCCACGCAAGGACAGCGCGCAAAATACTTCTACAGGGGTTTAGGTTAAAGGTCAGGCTACACCCCGCATGCCAGACCAAGGCCCACCCCCACAGCGGCTCCGACGACCGTGTTGACGAAGTTGACCACCTGCCGGGGATAAGGTCAAAGCCAACGACACAATACCCCCCGGACCACGGAGGACGGGGAAAAAAGGAGAAAAAAAAGTTAAGAGAGGAAGTGCATACACGGAACGTGTCCGTATGGCTTGCATCAAGCCCGGGTGGTTGTAGAAGGTACGGAGCAGAGATCTTATCGGTTGTTCATATAAAGACAACAACAGCAGCAGGACCAACGATGGAGAGAGAAGAGACAAGAGACAAGAGACAAGGAGACAAGAGACAAGCCCTCCCACCTCATTGGTAAGCCAAGGAACCTTCCCCTGAGTCGTGGCGCCGAGTACGCTCTCGAAGTTGGTGGCAACGAACGCCGCGATCAGACACGCGGGAAGCGCCTGACGCCGCCGCCGCGACAAAAAAAAGTGTTTCACGGGGGGGGGGGGATTTAGCATGACATGAAGACGATGTTGGTTTTCATCAGCGTACTCCGGTCAACAACGGACTATTAATAGCAGACAGACACCTTCGAGAGACACAGACCGGCGGGTCGATGAAGGGGTTTGATTCACCGACGATAGAGTAGTTGCTGTTGCTGCAATCGCGTCTCAAATTGCTCTTGGATGTCGTGCGTGTGTCATCCATCCAACCATCCGACCATACCATGCAATATCAATCAAGTATGTGCTACAAATACAGCCGCCGTTTTCGCGTGCTTCGTTCACGCTGGTTGCATTGACTTCCCTGCCGGCGGCCACGTGCTATTAATACATGCAAGGGTACCAACCCCTGTTGTGCCATCGCCTGGCCTGGCCTGGCCTGGCCTGGCCTTTTCTAGCTCCGTTCTTGAACGCTGCCTGTACCAACGCTGTCACCACGTCTCAACTGGATTTCGGCAATCAGCAATCTACAGCAGTACATCTAGCTGGCTAAGCTAAAAGCCGTCCCCGTGCCCACCCGACGCCTGTGGTGGTCGTCACTCCTCTCGCTGGCCACATGTACCATACTGCCATCGTCGATCCTGGAGATGCTCACGCCGGACCCATCCCTCACTGCCCCCCTCCATTGTTTGATCTGTCTGTCTCTTGAAGGGTTCAATCGAGATTGGTATATCAGCTATACTGTAGTGACGGCCATGCTGGTGGTGTTTGCAGGCGGCAAGCGTACCTTTGCTGTGACCACCCCTGCTGTCGCCGCGAACCCCGAAATGATGACGGACCCGACCACTCCTGCCAAAGTTCCTTCGAGACTCACGGCCCCCTCAGTGCCGGGGGGCACAGGCTTAAAGGTCGTGATGAGGAAGGTGTGCTTGCCGTACGCCTGGTTCGGAACACGAACACGCGCAATGACTTGTTGCGAATGACAGATAAAAACACTCCTTTAGGACGCGTCACCACTCAAGTTGCGTGTCTACCTGGGTCAGCTTGACTGTTTATCTACAAGGAAGACGCCCTCCGTCAATAATCCTACACTACACTAAGACCTACTTTGAAAAGTAGGGATCTAGTCGGCGTTTAAGTTGGTGTGCCCCCGGAGAAAAGAGAAACGGGCCACGTCGGACATACAGGAGGGTCTTGAGTGGCGGCTCCTCCAGCATAACGAAAACACGAAAAAAGTTGGTGCTGCTGGTCCAGCCCCAGACTAGGGAACATGTGCGTCACCAACACAGCCAGCTATCAAGCAATCAAACAATCATTCGGGCGCAGCCAAGGACAGCAAAAAAAAGCATAGAAGGACTCAACGACAATTTTCCTATTTCAACATATGATGAGCGTACCTCTTCCAAGTATCCGTCATAATTGTCGGGGGAGGCACTCACACACTTTACACATCGATACATGCACACCGTCCCCCAATATGCGTTGAAGATGTTCCTGCTGACATGTACCTAATGAACATGCACACCGTCCCCCAATATGCGTTGAAGATGTTCCTGCTGACATGTACCTAATGAACCGATCCCCCTGGCCAACACCGTTACGAATATTCCCTGTATCGACGACCCCATTGCCGTACTACTGCCGTACAGCACTACTGCCGTACTTGTACGTACCTTGCCAACCTCGCTGGCGAAGGTGTCTGAAAGCTTTGTGGCCAGGGAGGCCACGTATCCGATTCGAAGGGGGCCTGACCACCGGGGCCACACCAACGACGCCACGGCGCACATGGCTCCTGGTATAAAGCAGTAGTTGTATTAACAGCAACTAATAATATATCACACATGCCTCCTGGTACTTGTTGTGTTAATAGCTAGCACACATGGCTCCGGGTAAATATTGTAGAGCAGTAGTTGGCACGAGAAAAACACAAGAAGAAAATAACACGAATCGGCAAGCAAGCGTATTTTGAGTTCGGAAGACGCAAGATCAGGAGTGAAACATCTAAATAGCTAAATAGAGGGGGGGGGGGGGGTTACCGAAAAAGAAGGGAAAAAACGTGGCATGGACTTGTAGGAATGGACTGGACTGTATTGGATTGTATTGTACTGTATTGTACTGTATGGTTTCGCTTCGAGGGGGTCAGCGGAGGGGGTGGGCGGGGGGGGGGTGAATGTGTGTGCTAGAGATGTGCATGGCGTAGCAGATAGCAAGCAGAGCATACCTCCCAGTGCTGCTTGCGTTATCGGGAGTTGGACCGTCCAACACTAATCTTTAGTAAATGAAATATTTTCTCGGCTTTACGCGAGCAGTATGTGGAAATACTGTTTACAACGCAGCCTTCACTATCAACTCTTAAAACGCAAGGGTACCTGTGAAATTCCCCTTTCTTGTTTATACGCATACGATACAACGTACATCGATTCTTATTTTTGCACCCGTGGTCCGAGCGTTGCAATACAGCACAGCACTTTATCGCAATAGCAGCATTTTACCGCTCTATACATACGATGGCACACTAACAATAACACACTAACCAACCTGTGGCGGCAGACCCCCATACGTTCTCCGGACCGCGCGCCCCCCCCCTCCCCTCCGCGATGCCCAGCGACTGAGATGAGAGACAGAAGCCAGCCGAGATCGAAGACGCCAACGGTGTCATGGAGGCGACCGGGAGCAACGAAAGAAAAGAAGGCGTTTCGTTGAAAAGAAGGAAAGAAGGAAAGAAGGAATCGTCGACGACGACCGTCGTTGGAGGCGATTTGACACTTTCGTAATGCAACCTACCTCCACTTTACCCCTCGCTTGCCTCCCCTATTTCGAATATCCTTTATGCTTCTACAGGCAAGAAATAGGGCTGCTCTATTAGTATAATACATAGTAGGAAAAAGGGTAAACCAACCCAACCAGTCCAGCTGGCGGCGAGCTAATTCACTTCTTCGCGACTCTTCCGTGCGTGTCTTCGCAAGCGCGCCATGACCGCGGCGTCACCAGAACTCATTCCACTCATAAAAGTTCGAGAAACCTACAATACATGGAAATGGTTTGGTCTTCCACCTTCCCACCGGCCCTGCACGACTCCTCGTGTTGTTGGTTGCAAGAACAACATTGTGTTGGTGGGTGGGTGGCGGGTTCCGATGATTCGAACCCGTGGGTCTTGTGGTGCCAAAATCAGACATACATCTCTCAGTTCGACGCCGCCATTGCGAAAAGAGGGAATGCGAACCCTTCCAAATGCCAGTCTCCACACCAGCGACCCCGCGGTCTTGCTAACGGCAACGCTGAGTCTTTGGGTGTGTACGGGGTAACCGGGGTGATAAATGCAAGAACGGAGACAGGAGGGTGCAGAACAGCTTGAAACCGTCCCGCACCGGTGGTGTTCTTGTTCCTATTGAAATCTTGGTAATATCATAGTAATATCAGAGGAAAGTAATATCAGAGGTTCGTAGGACGTCCTCAAAGGCAAATCGCTGTACACACACGAGCAGCATCTATTCTACAGCAGTATGCAGCGTCACCCTGGCTGGTCCGTCAAACGAATACACCGCAACGCGTCTCGACTGGTGCCAGAATATGTAAAAGGGACGAACATGCAAACACACGTTTGCTATCGTTTCTGTCTTTCACACGGGGAGACAGCTTAGCCTCCCCGATGAAGCGCTCCCAAGGGGGCCCAGATCATGGTAGCCTGTAGAATTTTTTTCTGTTTTCAACCGCACTGAGACTTACGTCTTTTCATTGGTCACCGGTTGGCGCTGTCGCTCCCAATACCAAAAGACAAACGCATACTTGAACGCACCTCTTTCTTTTCCATCTTCAACTTTGTCACCGCCGACCCTGCCATGAGGTACAGCACTGCGGTGCCCCACCCCCAGCCTCCGAGGGTGCTCCACAACACCAGACCCAGCACGTAAGCGCTAAAGTTGCCGGCGCTGGTGAGGATAGAGCCTCGCTTGCCCGTGGCTTCGAGTAATCCGAAGCCGACGGTATTTACGAGGAGAGCTGTCTGAGCCTGTAGAGAGGAAAGTGTAAAGGTGAAGTAAACAGCAGTCAGCAGTGTAAACGATAACGGTTGGGGGAAAGGCGGTGGGCATAGGCAGGGGGGTCAATAGGAATAATCTGGAGAGAGAGAGAGAGAGAGAGAGAGAGAGAGAGAGAGAGAGCCTATGTGTCACCAAATACGGTGTAGGTAGATACATGTAAGCTTGCCTTTTTGTTCGTTGCACTCAACAGACTGACCACGCGCCGTGTTCCGTCTATATTTTCAATTTTTCTTTATGCATACTTGTATGCATCGATAGACTATGATTACGCCAACCAAATCAACGCACGTTTTCTATCCCGATGATATCAAACAACACCAACATGATCAATGCGACAGGTGATCACGAAACGTACTCGCTAGACTCTGCGCACTGATCAAAGCACGGTAGTCCTACTCCAACTTGATGCACAATCTATTTCTGCCCCTAGTGTTTGGATTTTTTTTTTTTTAATATCGACAGATTATTAGGAAAAATAAATACACATACAGAAAGACTACCCATTCGAGATATACCCACAGCAGTCGAACGGGATGTGGTGGAGTCTTTTCAGTGAGTGCAGGAAAACCGGCTGGATACTGGACTTATTTCGAGTATTTTTAAGTCTGTACACTGATGATTTATACCAGTGATGCCAGCTGGTGCTAAGTACAAAAACATCTGTAAAGGTAGCCTACATCTTGCAATAACAGTTGTATCAGTTAAGAATTCGATGAGAACGTTCCATTCATTTTCCGCGTGGACGGCTGAGAGCTCAGTACTCCATTTTTTCGGGCTCTCACAGAGCAGCATTTTCTCTCACCAATCAGCATTTTCCGAATGTTCAGGCCCTCTCACGATCATCGTTTTTACCCTTTTCTAGCTTCGATTTTCGTTCCACACACGACACCTTCTCCCCCACACACCTTTTCGGCTTTTGGTTACCTCTCGCTCGCCCTGTTACTGTTTCCTCTGTCTGCCTCTGTCTGTCTGTCTCTGTCTCTCTCTCTCCCCCCCCCCCTCTCTCTCTGTCTCTCTCTCTCTATTCTACAATTGGATTATTTATTCCGAACACACCGGTCTCTTTTCCGATTTCCATCCGATCACACATGGGCTGCCGGTCTGTCCCTTCGATCTCTCTCTGTCTGAAAATCAGGCACTCCTTTGCGGCTCTTCCCATTACACGAGGCATATCGCTCTTCGTTTCGCTCTCTGTCTGGATCTCACGCACTCCTTTCTTTGCGATCACATCAGGTCTATCT